CATCAAAGTGTCTAGGACGGCCGGATGCTCCCGGCCATAGAAAATAGTGCCAGCCATGTTGAAGACCGGCTCCCTCAAATGTCAAAAGTCATCTCTTTTGTAGGACCATCCATTCTTTCACCCAAATCAAGTTCGCTGCTTGGTGATAGAGCTCCCAATTTGGGAGTCCAAATCCTCCTCTATTTTTGGGTTCTTGTAACATTTTAAGTCTAATCTGCGGCCTCTTTCCCTGCCAGATAAATTTAGATATACTCCTATCCAAATTTTTTAAAAACTCTTTTTTCACGCACGTCTTAATGGTTGCCACCCTTCCCAAAATTAATAGCTGGAGATTTTTTCATCTTTCTAAGTCTCTGAGCATCTGGATGTAAAGAGGAAGATAGTTATCCTCCTTTATGGAGGAACATTTGGCGGTCAACCATATACCCAGATACTTAATTTTATTTGTTATTCTTAAACCCATTAACTGCTCCAGCTGTTGCCTTTGCATCTGAGTCATATTTTTCACTAGGATTTTAGTTTTTTCTTCATTCATCTTTAACCCCGCTACCTTCCCATACTCTCTAATCAAGCATAATAATTTCAGGCCCGAGTCCAGTGGTTGATCCAAGATAAATACAAGATCATCTGCATAAGCCTGAACTTTAACTTCCTCCTGCCTAATCTTCATTCCTCTTACTTCCGTGTTTCCTCTCACTTCTCTAAGCAGGGGCTCTAAAGTTAATACAAATAGCAATGGGGAAAGGGGACATCCCTGTCTTGTACCTCTACAAATTTGAATTCTCTCCGTCTCCTCTCCATCTATGAGAACTCTTGCAGTCTGCTCCTGGTAGATAGCTCGAATTGCCCGAATAAAATTCCCACCAAACTCCATATATTCCAATTGAGAAATCATAAATTCCCAACTGATTCTGTCAAACGCCTTTTGGGCGTCAACAAAAATTAAAGCTAATTGTTTATCCGGGCGATTTTCAAAAAATTCTAGTGTATTCATGATAATTCTAAGATTATCTCGTAGATATCTATTAGGAAGGAAGCCGTTTTGGTCTGAATGAATAAATTGGTTAAGGAAGCAGCTAAGCCTAGCTGCAAGAACCCCCGCAAATATCTTATAATCGGAGTTTAGTAATGATATTGGTCTATAGTTCTTAATAAGAGATAAATCAGTTCCTTCTTTTGGGTTAATAGTAATATAAGCCTCAGTCCAAGATACTGGAACCTGAGCCTCTTTCATAACAGCATTGAATAAATCTGTCATGTGTCTTCCTATCACGTCAAACACTATTTTGTATAATTCAACTGGAAGGCCATCTCTACCCGGGGTTTTGCCATTCGCCTGTGCTTTCATAACTGTTTCTACTTCCTCCATCGTAAATTCCGCATTAAGAATTTCCTTCATTGTTTCCGAGACTTTAGGCAAGTCTGTCTTTTCCAAATATTTCCGAATTTCACAGATATTTTCCTCTCCTTTCTGATAAAGCTGTGTGAAAAAATCCTGAGCTACCATTCTCTTGCCTTCCTTAGTACAATGAAGATTCCCAATTACATCTTTCAGCCCTTCTATTCTCCATTGCTCCTGCTCCTTTCTAAGCCGGTAAGCCAACCATTTTCCTGTTTTATTCGCCCTTTCAAAAAAAATTTGTTTAGTCTACTTTATTTTATTTGCTAATTCCTCTTGATCTAATAATTTAATCTGGTGTTGCCAGTACTCCCTTTCCTCTATCAATGTTGTCTGGGTTAATCCATTTTGCATCCTTTCTTCCACCCGTTGTAATTTATTCAAGAGGTTGTCTCAGTGTTTCTTACCCGCCCTACGTTTGTCAATCATATATTTGATTAGCCATCCCCTCATTACTGCCTTAACCGTATCCCATGTATTGTATATTGAAGTATCCTCTTTCTTATTTTCCTGGAAAAAAAAGATATAACTCCTTCTTAAATTTACTCATGAATTCTTCATCTTTCAGAATACCTATATTCATTCTCCATCTACTCTTCCTACAATGTTGGATCTTCCAAGTTACCATTAGCGGGTTATGATCCGCCCACTGGTTGGGCCCTATTTCCACTTCCGAGACCAGCCCCCTCAACTCAAGAGACATCCATATCATATCTATTCGGGTCCACGAGTAGTGTCTGGGAGAGAAATAAGTATATTGATTTTTATTGGGATTTCTCAACCTCCATATATCCTGTAATCCAAATTCCTCCCTTAAATCATTACATATTTTTGGTAATGTTTTCTTAATATCCTTTAACCTTCCTTGTATGTTTCCTGGGACATAATCCTGCATTCTATCCATTACAGCATTGAAATTCCCCACTAGACAGACATGTTCATATTCCAGTTTCCCCAATTTAACGTATAACTTTTGATAAAAAGTCCTCTGATTGTCATTAGGGGCATAAATACAAACCAATAAAGACTTCCACTGGGCAATTTCTATTTCGAGCATGAGGACCCAGCCTTTCTGGTCAGCAAAAACCTGTTGGGATTTCAAATGATGTCGTACATATACCACTATCCCTCTTTTTTTTTTTTTGACCTGCTAATGAGGTATAAGTTTTACCCAACGCCTGGCATTCTAACAAATGGTTTTGATCTTTTTTTATATGAGTCTCCTGCATGCAGACAATATCATACTTAGCCTTTCTTAATTTATTCAAAATCCTACTACATTTATTAGGAGCATTTAAACCGTTACTATTTACAGATATCAAACACACTAATTCCCCATTTCCTTTTCTCACCTAAGTTTTTACTTTCCCGCTGTTATAGCCTTCTTAACTGTTTGTCTTGTCTCCCTCTGAGGTGCTGTTAATTCCTCGACTTTTCGTATTCCCCCACCCTTCTTTCCCGCCTTTCCTTCTCTCCTCTCCTCTACCTCAAAGGGCCACTGAGGAGGTGTCCGAGTGGGGCAGACGGAATTCAACAGGCTGCCTGCCACTCACCGCCACACTGCCACCTTCGCCTTCACCTTCACCGCTGCCACTACCGACAAGCCGCTGCCGACAAACCACCATAACGTCACTCTCGGCAACATCTGAGTGGCGGCGCGGCCACAGCTCTCCACCATCGCCACTGACTCCAAGCACGTCCAGGGGTGAGGGAGGTCCCAAAACCCTCGCTCCGAGCTCCACTGACCAAAACTAGCTGCCGCCAAAAGCCACCATGTCTTCGCTCTCGACAGCGTCGGAATGGCACGGCTACAGCTCTCTGTTGCCGTTTCTGACTCCAGGAATGCCCAGGGGCGAGGAAGGTCTCAAAACCCTCGCCCCGAGCCCATCCAATCGAACCAGGGGTCGCTGATGACCAAGCGCCCCTGTGGTAAACCCTAAGGCCCTGAAAATGAGGACCCAGTTGTGGGGGCAATAAGCTGACTTTGTATAAATATACAAAAGGATGAAGGCTATTGCTGAGCACATTGTAAGCTGCCCTGAGTCTCCGGAGAAGGGTGGCATATAAATCAAATTTAAAAAAAAATAGCCTCCATCCAAGTGCAGCACTTACAACGCAGCCGCCATCCTGCGCATGCTCAAACTTATTTACTTTAGGGTTTTTTTTAAACCTCATAGGTTAGTTCTAGGTTAGATCTCTCCTTGATTAGTGTTGTGGGCCACCAGCGGCCTGCAGAGCTGGCAGCGGAGTTGGACAGTGAGGAGGCTGGGGAGGACAATGGGCCAGTCCTGGAGTCAGGGGAAGACCCGGACGAAGGCTCTGCATCAGAGGTAGAGATGGGGCCAGGGCCATCTGGGAGTGATGCACAGGCTCCGGAGCCTCCAGAGGCAGATAGCAGAGAGGCAGAGAAACAGGAGGAGCCTGTTCCTAGTGCTCACATGCAAAGAGCTGCCAGAAAGCAAGAGCAACTAAAACAAAAAGGACGACTCAGGAGTAAGGCCAGGAGATGATTGGCCCCTCCCAGAAGGCTTAAAAGAGCAGCAACGGCTCTTGGGATCTTTGTGGGAAAGCAACGTTGCTACATTTGTTTCTTGTCAGCGTCTCTTGCTTCTGAACTTCATGGAGTTTTGCCAAGAAAAGCCTTTGGCAGGGTGCCAAAGGAGACAAAGGTTGGTGATAAGGCCAAAGGACTGTTTATGAAGAATCTGTTTTGGACTTTTTTGGACCAGGTCCAGCAAGTACTGTTCGAGCCCGGTTGCTCCCTGGCCGGCTCCAGCAAGCACTCTTCAGGTCTAGATGGTTTCTTAACAGACTGCATCTGGCTTGCCTTCCAGGCACCTCTCCCAGCATGAGTCCCATCACCTGATACCCATCTGTGCCCCCATGCACCCCGCTCTCCCTGCACATGTGTGGCAACTCTGAAATGGCATGTTGTGGCAATGTTGAACAGCATGCTGTCTCGGACATTGACACCCTCTCTGGTAGTTACCAGAGCCAAGTATCATTTTGGCAACAGCATTTTGGCCTATCATGCAGCCAAACTGAATTTATTGCAGCAGTAGAAAATCTTTCCCTTTTGAAGAATAGGATTCATTCATGTTACTTTTACCAGTCCCTGGAGAATTCAAATGAATTGATGAAGTATAGAGTTCTGTAATGTATAGTGGACTAGACATCCTTCTATTGACATGCAATTGTCATATTATCTTGATGAATACATTAAGTAGGAGAGTATCTGTCTACCTTCTCTGCATTCCCTGGATAGTTGCTGGCTAGAGAACAAATACTAAAGGACAAGAATAATCTTACATTGGTGATATATACATAGTGGTATAGAGAGAGCAAAATCTTCATCAGATATTTCTGTGATATAATGTGACCAAAAGAACAGAATAGGCAAACTAAACTTAAAATTAATCTTTAGGATCATTTTCTGTTTTTCAGATACAAAACATCCTTGAACAAGTATGCTATACTCTCAATATAAAAAACATTAGAAAAAATATTTCTTTTTTACAAAGAGCACAAATAGCTTAAACTATAACATGCTTTCACTTAACCCGAGGATGTCTACATTGCAAGAACTTCCATAAGACTGAGATATTTTCATAAACTTTATTTTCAAATTGAACATCTTGCTTATCACATTGAATTGTCAGCAATGATAAATAAAAACATGGAAATATTATTACCTCCTCACTAGCTGTTCTCTTTTATTTAGTTCAGGCTGGAAAAGAATAATATAACATTTGGGTAAAAAAATGCAAGCCAGTAACCCTGCGCTGGAGCCAAAGATGGAGAAGATTTCCACAGCCACCATGTGTTTGCCCTTGGTGCTCAGATAGGCTGGGAAAAAAGACAACCACACACTGCAGAAGATCAGCATGCTGAAGGTGATGAACTTGGCTTCATTAAACGTGTCAGGTAAGTTCCTAGCTAGGTAAGCAACCATGAAACTGACTAGGGCAAGAATGTTCATGAAGCCCAAAACACAGTAAAACATGTAAGTTGACCCTTCATTACACTCTAGTATGATTTCTTTATGCAGGGAATACATGTCAAAATGTGGAAATGGGGCAGAGGTTGCCAGCCAAATGACACAAAGAGAACCTTGAAGAAAGGAGCAAAAAAAGACAATTGAAGTAGCCAATCTGTTTCCTACCCATTTCCTTATTCCAGATCCTGGTTTGGTGGCCATGAAAGCAAGAACTACAATGATAGTCTTAGCCAGCACGCAAGAAATTGATATTGAAAATATGAAGCTAAAAGCAACTTGTCGAAGGAGACATGTCAGTAGTGTTGGCCGACCAATGAAAAGGAAAGCAGAAAGGAAGGAGAAGAGAAGAGAGGTGAGGAGAAGGTAGGAAAGGCTCTGGTTGTTGGCTTTGACAATAGGTGTGTCATTGTGCTTAATGAAGATAGCAAGCACAAGTACTGTCATGAAAGCAAAAAAGAATGCAAACACCAAAGATGTGATTCCTAAAATGTCTTGGTAAGATAAGAAGGAGATCTCTTTAACAATGCATGCATTTTGATGGAAATTTGCATACTGATCTCTTGGACATGGGACACAGTCATCTGCATCTGAAAAAGAACATAATACATTGTTTATATTGCTACAACTGAATGCAAAATTACACATCTGAGACTTTATGTATTAGAATGTAGTGGAAACGTGTCCGTCATATTCTAAGGTGTGAAAATTTTAATTTTCAAGTGAAATGGGAGGCAAAGAAGCTTGAATAATAGAGACAGAAATTAACCAACCAACACATTATATCTTATTCAATCAACAAATTCTATTGATGCACATCTTACCCTCTTGTGCTGAAATCTTTTCTTCTGCACATGGAAGACAATCATAGCAACAGAACAGTTTCCCTTCTTTCACAGTTTTTCTTTGACCTGAAAGACAGTGATCATTGCACACTGAAAGGGGCTGAACCTGAAAGGACAACAGAGAAAAGAAGAATGTTGAACTCTGGTTTTATATATATATATATATATATATATATGTATGTATATATATTTGCCTCAAAGAGCAGCAGTATTTTATTATTCCACAAATCTATAGGAAAGATGGTAATTACCGTATTTTTCAGAGTATAAGACGCACCAGACTATAAGATGTGCCTACCTTTTTTGGTGAGGAAAAGAAGAAAAAGGAATCTCCTTCTGCCTCTGCCTCTGAGCAAATTTTGCCTCGTTGCAGCAAACAGCAAACAGGCTGCTTTCTTTCGTTTTCATTTTCAGCATAGCTTGATTAGCACATGGGGGAAAAAAATCTACTCCAGCAATTTTCTTCCTTGCAGCAAGCAGCAGAGGCCTGCGCAAAACAGCTGAGAGCAAAGCATCTGAGAGTTGGGAGGCCGATCCAATCAAGTTGTGCTAATTAGGCTGTGCTGAATCTGAAAGGAGCTGCTTTTTCTTGCTTTTGCTGTAAGGAGTTCACTGCTGGGAGGCAGAGGCCAAAGGGTGGGGGGAGTGTGTGGGCAGGGCTACAATCGGTGTATAAGATGCACCTAAATTTTCACCCCCTTTTAGGAGGGAAAAGGTGCGTCTTATACTCCAAAAAATACGGTATAGATAAAAAAACATATATAGCAAACAAAAGTAAGACTTGGTTTACTTGTTTGGCATACTTTACTTTGGCAAAGTAAAGAATAGTGTCCTTCGGAGTGGTCAGGACAGACTTCCAAAGATTTGTGAGACTTTCCATTGTTGTTACTGTTGTCATTAGTGTAATATTAGTTAAAGTACTATTTCTTAAATTGATATAATAAACATTTGGAGTTTGGTGAACAATCTAACACTTCATGAAGGGAAGCCAAAGAGCTGAAGAACTTGGGGATTTCTGCTAGAAGAAGCTTCTTCTTGTAAGCTTTGTTTTTCATGTTGTCTGTGAAGGGAATTAATTTCATGTAATAAATATTTGGGGTTTGATGAACAATCTATGACTTTGTGAAGGGAAGTTAAAGAGCTTAAGAGTTTGGGGTCTTCTCTGATAGAATGTGATCTTGGAATCTTTGCTTATATTAATGTTGTATTTGAAGGCACAATCACACAACAGATCCCTCCAGTTTACCTGATTAAAACTGGTGGGCCAAACAATGGCCTTCTCCTGAATGGTGAATTTCATTTCTTCAGATGTATGTACCTCTAAACTTCCAACTTTGACTCTAAGGAGGGACTGGTTTAGCAAGGTGATCCAGTTGATTATGTCAAATCCTGACACCAATTGCCCATTTTCATCAAAGGAAACAGGCTCCCCAGCATTATTGTTAAATGAGACAGTCCTCAGAAAATGATGCAACTCAATGAGAAAAAGAAACAAAAATGTTATAAAATTGACTAGACAAATATTTAAAGGACTTTTGGAAGAAAGAGGCCTACAATATTTTCTTGATTAATTATTGTTTTTGGTCATAATATCCTTTAAGTATTATTTCAGAACAATAGGATCCATTGTTCTGAATAAGCCCCAGGACATCCAGTAGAACATCAGTAAGATGGCACCCAAAGATGAGCTGCTGACAGAATTCCTGAGGTAAGAGAGGACATGATAGGAAAATCAATTCGAGGAAGTGTCATGGCAAGACAAAACCCTGCATGGGAAGTTGTAAATGCTCCAACGCTGGAAGTTTTTAAGAAGATGTTGAATAATCATTTTCTGAGGTGGTGTAGGTTTTTCTGCCTAAGCAGGGGGTTGGACTAGAAGACCTCCAAGGTCCCTTCCAACTCTGTTATTCTATGAAATCTATGAATACTTGATAACTAGCATTTCTCTCGTGAGGTCTTCTTCTTCTGGTTCTGCTTCTTGCTCTCCTGGCAGGCTCACCCATTGTTATTTGAGATAGTTCTCATGAGGTAGGTTTTTTTTTTTTTAGTTTTTAGAAAGTCTATGATATTTCCACTTTTCCTCTCTCCTCTTCCAACCTTCTTCTTCTTCTTCTTCTTCTTCTTCTTCTTCTTCTTCTTCTTCTTCTTCTTCTTCTTCTTCTTCTTCTTCTTCTTCTTCTTCTTCTTCTTCCTTCTTCTTCTCCTTCTCCTTCTCCTTCTCCTTCTCCTTCTCCTTCTCCTTCTCCTTCTCCTTCTCCTTCTCCTTCTCCCTTCTCCTTCTCCTTCTCCTTCTCCTTCTCCTTCTCCTTCTCCTTCTCCTTCTTCCTTCTTCTTCTCTTCTTCTTCTTCTTCTTCTTCTTCTTCTTCTTCTTCTTCTTCTTCTTCTCCTTCTCCTTCTCCTTCTCCTTCTCCTTCTCCTTCTTCTCCTTCTCCTTCTCCTTCTTCTTCTTCTTCTTCTTCTTCTTCTTCCTCTTCTCCCTCCTCCTTCTCCTCCCCCCCCTCTTCCTCCTTCTTCCATCAGATAGCTAAAGTGACAGACATTGGGAAGTCCTACCAATGGCTGAACCAAAAGGCAGCATGAGGCATTCATCATAGTAGCACAAGAACAGGCACATCGAAGCTGTCTAAAAACATGACAGGATCTAAGGTGCAGACTATGCAGAGAGGTCTCAGAGACAGTTCAACACATATTTCAGGTCTGTAAAATGAAGTCAGGAACAGCATACAGTAAAGGGCACAACCAAATAGATGACATTGTGAACAGGAATATCTGCACAGAGTAAGGGCTAGATCCTCCTAAGTCCAGATGGGAGATCCCACAAGCTAAGATTTTGTCAGACTTCCAGATCTGGACAGATGGGCAGGTAGTAGTCAATCAACCAGAAATAATCATAGCACTCAAGGACCGAAAGACAAAGGTGGTGCAGAATGACAGCAATATCAGGAAAAATGAGAAGCTGGAGAAATACCATGGTCTGATGTTGGAACTGAAGAACAAAGTGATTCCAGGTGTAGTGGGAACACTTGGGGCTATGACACCTAAGGTGGGAGAGTGGCTCCAATAAAATCCAGAAACTACATCAGATCTCTCTGTCCAGAAGAATGCAGAAGTAGAAACAGCTAAGATATTGTGCAAGCACACCAAATTCCTGGCTGTCTGGAAGAGGACTCAAGATTGAAGACAAAACATATCACACATAATGGGGGGGGGAGAGAATTTATAAAATACATACAGAAACTCAAAAGGATACCTGCCAAAATTCTTGATGGCGAAGATTCAGTTGACTTGTATCTGGCAAAACTGTGTGTTTCCTTTTGAATGAATACAGAGCATGCAAGGCATGTACCACAGCATAGACGGCATTGTAGATGGTGTAACTGTGGCTATTCATGTTCATGTCAAAAATCGAAGAAGGGAGAGTCTCTATATTCTCCTCCCCAGTGCAAAGACCATCAAAATTCTTCACTCCGCTGGAGTTGGGGAACGCACATTGAAACGCATCTTCCCAAAACTCCTTGAGAAAGCCATCTTCTTCATTGGTGGCCGGATTTCTTTCCCTAACAAAATCCTGAAATCCGACCAAGTCACTTAAGTGAACCACAATGGATATAGCACCATGAATGTAGTGTAGAGGCCAGTCCCTTTGCATAGAAGTGGAAGTGAAATCCATCTGGGCTATCATGATCCAGACTTTCTCGTTTTTTGATGGACCTTGATAAGAGAACAACAACCTCATAGTCAGCATAAATTCAGCTTGTACAATCACAGCAGACGCTATGCTTGCCATGAGAGTGTCGTATAGTTCATTTCCATCCTCTAACATATCAGAGAACTCATGAGTGTATGTCTTTTTGGGGAAACTTTTAATAAAGTCAAAGCAGATTCTTCTCTGGGCAAACATTGAAACCACAGTCGCTATAAACCAATCACCATCATCATAGTTCAGAGAAATCATCCCAATCCATGTCCACCCAAAATGTAACAACAATTGGAGAATTCCCTTGTATTGAAGCATATTGTTAGGGAACATCCATTGGAAAACGTCTCCATGATTATTTGTAGGTGCAGAACCATAGATGACCTATAGAAGAAAAAATAACTGGAAGGTGTTAAAGTAATAAGCATGCAAAATTTAGTGACAGAATTGATGCATTGCATAAAGACAGTTTATAGTTTAGCGTGTAATGCTTTGCCTAGTCATTGGATTCATTGAACATCTTAATGTATCATGTACTTTTTTGTAATTTTGTATGAAAAACAAAAATAGAAACTGACCAAAAGAAAAGCATGCAAGCTGGCCACAACAGACTTATGTTTTAATTTGTGAAGTGTTCATTATTTTAATGTTCTTAATTCTTTTGTTAGATTAGAATCCTTGTGAAAACTCAACCCTCGTGTTTTTTTCTCATTGAAATGAATGCTTTAAGTAAGTATCCCACAAATTAGTAACCATTTGAGATTATAACCTCAACCTTCCTAACCTGCTGTTGGGAAGGAAGGAAGGAAGGAAGGAAGGAAGGAAGGAAGGAAGGAAGGAAGGAAGGAAGGAAGGAAGGAAGGAAGGAAGGAAATCTAAGATTCATTTGCATGGCTGGGGAGAAAAGGGGAGCATACCTCACCTGTTGTACCTTGTAGTTGCACAGAATATTTGCCATATCCAGAGAGATTTTTGTATACGGTCCTCCAATGACAGTGACTTCATTGTTCTGGCCATCACACTTGTAATTGGGGATGAACTTGTCCTTTGTTGAAAGAAGCTCCAGGGCACCACGATAGGTCCAGCTTCCAATGAAGTTGCTGTTGTAAATGTGGAAGCCCAAGGTGATGTTGGGTAGGAGGTGAGGGTTTTCATTGATTTCCTTCAAAGCAAATTCCAAGGCCAGAATATGCTGATAGTTGTGTGTCAAGTACCTGTAAGATGATGATATGAATTCACTACTATCTTTCGGAATGAACTATGCATTGCTTTCCAATGACAATTGCTCTGGCATTTTTAAGCTGGAAGAGAACTATTGTGACACTTTTTTTTTTAGCCTGATATCAAGTGACAGGAAAGACCTATTTTTACCTTTCATCTCAAAATGAGCCCTTGGAAATAGGAAAATTGTCCAGATCCAACATATCAACTTCGGTATGACCTAAGCATAGCTCATAAAATCATCTGCTACAATGTCCTACCTGTCAATAACTACTTCAGGTTCAACCACAACAATACACGAGCACACAATAGATACAAACTTAAAGTGAACCGCTCCAAACTCGATTGCAGAAAATATGACTTCAGTAACAGAGTTGTTAATGCCTGGAATGCACTACCAGACTCTGTGATCTCATCCCAAAATCCCCAAAACTTTAACCTAAGACTGTTTACTGTTGACCTCACCCCATTCCTAAGAGGTCTGTAAAAGGCGTGCATAAGAGCACCAGCGTGCCTACCGTCCCTGTCCTAATGTTCCCTTTAATTGTATTCATTTTATGTATTCAATTCATGCTTATACTTATATATATTATCTAATATGTACTCGACAAAATAAAAGAACAAAACAAAATAAAAAACTATGAAGCACATAGTTCATGCCCCTTAGATGTGATTTGTTTGTTTTTTTGACAAGTTTTATTGGTTCCCCCACCCAAAACACACCCACATATTTTTTGAAACAGAGTATTGATCATATCATATCATATCATATCATATCATATATAATTTATCATATCCAAATATATTTTACTTACTTACAGTTTCTGCCAAAGTGTTCTTTTTCCATATTAATCAAATCTTAATTTTTCTATTCTTATTTCTATAAACAGTATCTTCTTTCTCTCTCAAATTCTATTTTTTCTATTCTTAATCATATACATATACATATATATTCCTTAACTTTATTTTTTATTAATTCACGTTTAAATATATTAAGAGAAAGAAAGAGATGTGATTTCATTGGGAAAGTAAAGCCCTTTTTCTCAGAAGCATCTGAGAAAATAGACTATGATTTTGGAGAGTTTAGACAATAATAAATTAGTTCATATATAACTTTCCAGGGGAATCTCTGTAAAGATTGACTGATGGCAAAATAATATCAGAAAGTTAAGGGAAATTTAAAGCATAAGACTAGGAACCTTGAGAAATGAAAAGTAATTAAGTCAAGTCAAGTCAAATCAAAGGCAAGGCAAGTTTTCCTTAAGTGGCTTAGCTTTTGCAGATGATTCTGTCTTTATATCTGCCACTACTTTGCTCTTCCACTACCACTATGCTGCAGGTGTCTACTGTCCCTGCTTTGAACCAAAAATGTTATCACACTTCTTTTCAAAGCCTTTTGTTAATAAAAGATCCGAACGATACCATTTGTGAGTTAGATGGTATCCTTTGCCTTGATGAATGCAGGCCATGATGCAGGCAATGACAGATCTCTGCACTTTTTCCTCAAAGATGCTTCAATCTCTCCTCCATTTCTTCTAAAGCAAAATAGGATCTGTCCACATTGTCAAAATACTTTCTGCCCACAATTCTTTCCAGGATGGGTGGATTGAGGATGACCATATTTCTATATAAGACTACCCAGACATTTTTTCATATTGACTCGGATCTTCCTTCCTTCCTTCCTTCCTTCCTTCCTTCCTTCCTTCCTTCCTTCCTTCCTTCCTTCCTTCCTTCCTTCCTTCCTTCCCCTTCCCTTCCCTTCCCTTCCCTTCCCTTCCCTTCCCTTCCCTTCCCTTCCCTCCTTGACTATTCACAATCTTATTCATATTCACCCAAATATCTCTTTTTTTTTTTCAAAAAAAAAACTTGGTTCTCCATCCCTGCATTTTTAGGAGGTCTTGAAAACCTTAATAACTAGAGCCGATCTTGATAGCGGACTTAGAGCCAGTCACCTTCTTTCTTTCTTTCTTCTTTATTTGATTTATATACCGCCCTACTCCCGAAGGACTCAGGACGGTGAACAGCCAAACGATAAAATACATAAATACAAAATTTAAAACAGAATAAAACCGAATTAAACAATTTGGCCCAGACAGATTTAAAACACCCCAATCATTTAAAAACAGATTAAAATTTTCATATTAAAAAGAAAAAGGGAAAAGATTAGGCCAGGCCTGCCTGGTGGAATAAAAAGGTCTTGAGAGCGCGGCAGAAGTTGCGCAGATCTGGGATCCTCCGTATCTCCGGGGGGAGCTCATTCCAGATAGTAGATGCCCCCACAGAGAAAGCACTCCCCTAGGGGCCGCCAGTCAACATTGTTTGGCCGACGGCACCCGGAGGAGCCCCTCTCTATGAGAGCGTACCGGCCAGTGGGAGGCTATTAGTGATAGTAGGCGGTCCCATAGATAACCAGGTCCTAAGTCATGGAGCGCTCTAAAGGTGGTAACCAAAACCTTGAAGCGCACCCAGAAGACCACCGGGAGCCAGTGCAGCTCGCGCAGGAGAGGTGTTACATGGGAATGCCATGTCGCTCCCATTACCACCCGCGCGGCTGCACTCTGCGCCAGTTGGAGCCTCTGGGTGCTCCTCAAGGGGAGCCCCATGTAGAGAGTGTTGCAATAGTCCAGGCAGGAAGTGACGAGGGCATGAGTTACCATGCATAAGGAGTCCCGATCCAGAAAGGGATGCAACTGGCGAATCAGGCGAACCTGATGAAAAATCCTCCTGGTCACGGCCATCAAATGCTCTTCTAAAGACAGCCGTGAATCCAGGAGGACGCCCAAGTTGCGAGCCCTCTCTGTGAGGGCCAATGATTTGCCCCCAATAGTCAGTGATGGTGCCAACTGACTATATTGGGACGTCAGAAACCGCAGCACTCAGTCTTGGATCAGTTGAGCCTGAGCGTATTCCTCCCCATCCAGATCCGCATGGCCTCCAGGCACTGGGACATCACTTCAAGGGCATCGTTGGGGTGGTCCGGGGTGGAGATGTACAGCTGAGTGTCATCAGCATACTGGTGGTACTTCACCCGAAACCACGGATGATCTCACCCAGCGGCTTTACATAAATGTTGAACAAGAGGGGCGAGAGGCACCCCACATATGAGGGGCCTCAGGGTCGACCTCTGCCCCCCTGCCAACACAGACTGCAACCGGTCGGAGAGAAAGGAGGAGAACCACCACAACACAGTGCCTCCCACCCTAACTCTTCCAACTGGTGCAGCATGATACCATGGTCGATGGTATCAAAATCCGCTGAGAGATCTAATAGGACCAGGACAGAGGAGCAACCCCTGTCCCGAGCCCTCCAGAGATCATCAACCAACGCGACCAATGCCGTTTCTGTGCTGTACCCAGGCCTGAAACCCGACTGGAATGGATCCAGATACATCGTTTCATCCAGGTGCTGGGGGAACTGTTGCGCAACCATGCTCTCAACAACCTTCGTCACAAAGCGAAGGTTGGAGACCGGACGATAATT